TGCAAAACAACACCAAAAGCACCTTACTGTAAAGAACATGTGTGTAAAAGTAGGTAAAATAGGAACATCAATAGAAAAAAATAGTACAACAGTACAACACTTCTTTAGTACTGGTAGATTTTGTCATTAAACTATTTGTGAAGATTGTTTGGTCTGTGAATTGTGTCACTAAGGTAATATAAAATTGCTGTTTTGTTTGTCTAATTGCAAATCAAAAGAACATTTTTTGGCAACAGAGCTCAATACCCCATGTACATGAATCTCAGATTCAAAGAAAGACAAATCTGATTTCTATCAAAACCAACATAATGAATATGTAACATGAAGAATATGTAACTGGCATTCATAAACACCAACACTGATTCATAACAAAAATTTCAAATGGCAATGTAGCTGGCATTGATAAGACAATGCTATTGTGTGTCTGGCATTGATTTGACAATTGTACTGTGTAGCAGGCTTTGCTATGATTCTTTTATGTTTAAAGCTGGGTTTGGGGCTCCAGCTGCTTGTCGTTCTTATTTACCTCCCCATTCTGTGCCCTGTAACTCTCCTCCTTTCTCTTGAATGCAAATCTGGCAAAAATCATCAGAAGCAGCATTTCCACAATTAAAAGGAAGTAGTTAGACCCTGTAAAAGAAAAACATAGGTATTCAGTATTTATTAATTCAATTTATTTACAATATTTGTAGCAATCAAGAATGATTCCATAAAATTTAATAAACATTAAGCATCAGAGGAACTCCTTAAAATGCAAAAAAGGGGGAATAACTGCCAATTAAGTCAACTGTTTGATGATATTTTTTTAAGACTTACTGTAAGCTCTAACAGTAGAGTTGAGTATCCTGACACACTCTGGAATGTTGTACTTGGCCAGAATCTGGAAGATAAAGCCTTGGATGTTGACCACCACAATGGTCAACTGAAGGGCAGCAAATTTCTTTCCAATGTTGTAGTCCTGAAGGCGATCTCTGAGGGTTCTAAATGTGATCATCATGGCCCACATAGCAACCAGACTGGACACGGCACCAATCAAATTCAGGTACAGAGAGGCAGCTGTGGGACTCATCTACAAGTAACCCACATACTGTGTAATTGCATTGTAATCTTTACAAAACTTTTAATTCACTATTAAACTGTGTTTATCTTTTATGATTCCTCCCCACAGGCACTAGTTTCATGTACGTGGCACCCCTACTTAATATTTCTATCACAAGGTACCTAACTCGATTTCAGACACCCCCGCTTCAAGCTTGTACTTTGTTCATCTATCAATCATTAACTTACTTTAAAATGACATTGTTTGCAGCTAAATTGCTTCTAGAGACTTTTTTCTTGTCAATTAAATCATTTTAGACGTCTCTATTAGATCCTTTTTATTGTAATCCACTCATTTATTCCTCAAAAATACGAAATAAGTGCCTGTGTTCCTCCCATTCTATTTGATGGAGGAGGGGGCATTTTTATGGTCTTTTGTTTGTGACTGCATGTGTGTGGCAACTTTACGTTACTGTAGTCTCTTCTACGAGTAATACTTATTTCTCAATCTACCTGGTAGTTTTAATTAGATAAAAACACTTTGGTAAAACAAAATAACATCTTTTCATTGAAACTTCAAATACACTTAAACAACTTACATCCTCTCCCAAAATGTAGCGTTCATCAGCCCACAGAATCATAGCTAAAATTGTAATGATTGGTCGAATTATGGCTGCCTGCAAGGTCATCAGGTTCACTTTCCTTAGGTTGTTCCTGTTTTTAAATATAATGATGCATAATTAGTGTGTACAGATCGACAGGGTATACAAATATCGTTAGTAGTTTAAATAATGCTGGAATTGCTTCCATTAAGAATTCACTGCTTTGATATCAAAACATTATAATTCAATATTAAATATTTCTAATCTCCTCTGGATGTAATTTTTTTCTGACCTGTTGACTTTCTGCTTGTACACCCCTGGACAGCAACAGCAGCAGCAGCAGGGAGGGGTTCTGAAGGACATCTGCTCCCCCTCCATCTCCTTACACACGGCCTTAAAGCCTCCCATGTAATCCACCACCATCCTGACAAACATCAGTATACACAGGGCCATGTACCTACAACAGGGGATCAGATACACTTAACAATCAAACATACCTCAGCTAGCTCTCATTCCATACAAGTATTAAATGTTTGCTTGTTTTTGGTCCACTAGGTATATGCAAATATTATCAATGGTTGATTGAAGATTAACTGCTTGGTATACACATGGAACTTACAACAAGCTACATTTACTTGGCTCATCTATCAACATGTTTGCTTGTTTTTGGTCCACTAGGTATATGCAAATATTATCAATGGTTGATTGAAGATTAACTGCTTGGTATACACATGGAACTTACAACAAGCTACATTTACTTGGCTCATCTATCAACATGGAGTCTGTTCCTGTGTAGAAAGTTCACTATTCCACCACAATCAAATACTGTATACAGGGTAATTTTCGACCCTGTTTTATTTTTGCCCCGTTCAAAGCTGGGTGAATTTAAAATGAAAAGAATTCAGAGAACATAACATCATTTCTTAAACAGAACCATGACTGGGCAAATTGAAAACGAAGCAAAATTGTTTGCAAGTGCAAAAGGGCAAAAATAACACTGTATACAGTATACATGCACATTAAATACTGTACTTACCAATATAAATTTCAAAGTACCTGATTGCAGGCATACAACAGTCAACTGTGCTATAAAATACTACCCCATCACCAACTAGTCTGAGGTGAATTCAACAACTGTGACCAGTTACAAATTATTACTTGAAGATGGTGTGTGTAAGTGTACTAGTATCTGATAAAAGGTTTTTAAATTGCATATTTTGATATATTTCTCAATGAATAAATACGGAAAACCTGCAAATGCACTGTAGTGCTCATGCACTACTTTTGCATCTGTGATTGTGACATGAGGCTATAGCTTATATATACATGTACTCAAAACAAATATACTGGGTAAGCAGCAATATGAGGTTATGGTCAATGCCTGGTCAGTAGTTTCATACTACCCCATGCTTGCTAGTCTAGGGAGCTCGGAAATTACTGCCAGATATCACAAAGCCTGTGATTAATACGATTAATAGTACAAGAACTGTATTTTGAAATGATTTCCATATGACAGAAACCATTATTGTGGTGTCAGAAGCATAATATCATAAAGTGAAGTAATAAATGTACCTGCAAAGTGCAAATTCTACAAAAGTTATAATAAGCAAAGCTTGCTAAGCAGACTTTTTTGTTGTAGATTGGTGTTTAATTTCTCCTAAAAAAAATATCTTTTCAAAACTTGACATTTGAACTTGTAATTTTAAAACAAAATTGTACACAACCTCTTCGCGGAATATCTTATGCTGTTTTTTAGACATGTTAGAACTTCAAATAATTTTTCATAGATAAAGATATCACTTTGAAAATTGAAAAAAAGTTACTCTTGAAACATGAATAATATATATATTTTTTCTAAATCCACCATTAAGTGAAAGAACTAATGATTATGACAATTACGCCAATCATCCCTTGAGAAACTTACATAGCGATCATAAGCTCCGCAATCATTGTTGTACGTGGCAAAATAAGTGACAGCATACAAGCACAAGATACCAACTGAAAAGTATCCAACACAACAAATTACAACAGCTCTACAATGGATTAAACCAAAATTCAAGCAGTGATAATGTTGACAATATGGGTATTTAATGTAGAAAAAACCCATCAACAAGATGGTACAGTAAAAACTGTATGATCCAACACCTGTGCGATCCATTTTACTGAGAATTCTGACCTTTTTTTTACTACTTTCCATGTTCTTTACACTGAGCAATCCAATACCCTAGCTGTACCCATTACAACATAAAATTTGTGTCCTAATGGCTAAGTGCGGGTTGGATTATACAGTTTTCCTGTACACAAGTGCAGATATTTTTTAAAAAGCTATAGTGAAAGCAAAAAAAAAAAAAAGGAAAGAAAGAAAACAATCAGCTGAAAATTGCTTCAATAACTAGTTTCTAAAAAAGGATCCTTACCGGGTAGACACCCAGCATGATAAGAGTTTTGTTTTTGTTGATTTTTATGCCTTCTAGGTGATTATGGCCATGTATAAACCTGAATGTCTCAAAGTACAGGACCACTGTTGTTATACATATTACTGCTGCTGTGATAGTGATACCTAAAATGGCGGGCTGCTTCTCCAACTCTGTAGAAATAAGATTTAACTGTGAATATTCAAACAACCAAGTTACATTTCAATCATCAAGCCACTAATTATTGTCAGAAAAAATCATTCATTTTAAAATTAGCAAGGGTACTTAAGTGCATCAATCGTTAACTACATGTATTCTATTTGAGGATATTTCAAAAGCTAATGGATAAAATTACTACTGTAATACTGGTAAAATCATGAATCAATCTTTATGCAATATGTTAAAAAGAGAAACTGGAGGGGGCTTCTTCTGCATCTGTCTGTCTGTCTAGCTGTCCTTCTGTCTGTCTGCAAGTCTTTCTCACTTGGTTTCCCACACTTTTTTTCTAAAACATTTTTTAGTTTAAGGTGCTCTTAATATAACATAACAAGAACTGCTTGAACTCAAAAATTTATCTTTTCATTGAGCTCTGGACATTCACCCCAACAAACACCCTCTGCCTCTCGGCATATTCTTAGGCATGTCAGCAAATTAATTATATACCTACCTAAAAAAAGAGCAGATGACACGGGAAAGTCTTTCTGCACACAACCTAGTTCTTGTACAAGGCTGCTGTTATTCATGGTTGTTCTGTCTGAAATGTCAAAATAACTCAAATACTATAGTGTCAAAATCTCTCTCGTTTCGCAAGAAGTTTAATATGTCTGACATTTCTTGACTGAATAAAAAGCTACACTGCCTACCTTGCAATTTTTGTAAACAACCTGGAACACTCACACTGGACCTCTGGGCTATAAACTGGTTCCCCTGAAAGCGAAAGCGTCACAGGGAACCAGTTAGATAACTGGGGTAAACAATATGGCGGCGAGTGGTGGACAGTTGCGACTATTTTGTGGCGTTTCTCTTGCAGTTTTATTCTTTCTCCTTCTTCATTGTGATTATATCTGTACTTCAAAACCAACAATTGTTATAAAACAATCCATGCCGCTTACATCAGGTATAAACGAGTTCTAAACCGACTATTTACAATCACTAAATTAAGACTGTGATGAGGACAGCTTTGTAACGTTGTATTTTATTTTTATAGAGTTTATTCATGCCTTTACATTGTTAACAATACCATATTTCTGTATTTCATGTATTATTGTGTTTTTGTGTTAAGATAGATGGCAGGAGAGATTGATATGAAATTCTTTCACTCACCTGGATCTTCTGCATGTTCTGGGCATCTTCCTACTTTTTGACCACCCCAATAAATGAATCCATCACATAAAATGCAGTGTATAGGTGGTTAAAAAATGTATATATAGAAACCATGTAATACATCCTTGTAGATAGAAGGTTCTATCATTAAAATGATATTGTTCAACAGATCCGAGACACAACGAAATTATTCTAACGATAACGGTCTAACATTTTCAGATTATAGATTGTCACAAAGTTTCTTGTACATACATGTTCTTGTATCATAAAGAAATTGATGTTTCATTCTCTTTTTGTAGATTGTACTGATAACACTGGTGCAGTTGTTGGGCATGAAGCAACATGGCCTACCTCTACTGGCTCCTGTGATAAAAATAAATGTTGGCATGGGACACTAAAGAAGTTTGTTCTAACATACAGGTATATTTTTTGTGACAAATGATATTTTTCTGGAATGATATACATGAAATACTAAGAAATTGATTCAGTTCTAATACTGTCTTATAAGGTTTAGTGGTCAATTTCATATAAAACTATATACTTTTATTTTTTCTTTATTTCAGTTGCCCCTCCCTGAATACTGGTGAAAATCCAGATAGTGGCAATTGTTTTGAAACATCCAATACTGGTTTGAGTTTCCCAGACTGCTGTCCAACACTCAGTTGTAATTCCTCTGTACCATTGACAACTCTGGCACCAACAGGTGAGGTTACTCTCTGGTTCATTCAAAACCATATGTCTTTTAATATCCATCCATTTTGATTTTTTAATTTACCTGAACCAGAGCCTGATAACATGTATAAGTGAGTTTTTTTTCTGATCAACAATCAATGTAATTTTTTGTTGCCTTGGTCATTTCCAAAACTAAGCCAATTTTGACAAACTTGCCACAAACCATCCTTAAAAAAATGACAAATATTAAAGATTAGTCAAATGGAGGCAAACATAACTTATAATGACAGATTAAAAATGGGGGGATGGGTTATTTAAAAACTTTCAAAGGTATCACAATGGACCACATGCATTCGTAGACATTCAGTGATGTAAAGCAAATCTGCCCATTTTTTGTGGAACAAATGGTGGTCCAAATTAGAAAGTTTTGCTGTATATAAAAATTTCTAAAAATCTATCTTTAAGTTAGAATAGCTTTCAGATTTGTCGTAATGACATCTATTAAAGCCTTTTCATGCAATTCAGACTCAAATTATATTCAAGTTCTACAGGTATACTGTACATAAATATGTTTAAATCATGGAATTCAATTTAAAAAGAGTTATGAAACAGCCTTTTATTGATATGGACATATTCACTAGGAATAAAACAGTGTTCTTGGAGAGAATTGTGGCCCCGATATCTCATTTAATTTCCTTCACTCTTCTTGATCACTTTATTCTATCGACAAAGTTTTTGAACTTACTTTGTTTGCAATGCCTGTATAAATAAAATGATTGATTGCTTTATTAATTTTGACAGCTTGTTATGACCTGAGCTCAGATTTTGCCTGCAGTGTTTGGTCAAACATGACCAGCGGATGTCGGAATGGGACCGATGGTTATGCAGACAGGATATACAACTACACAACCATCTTCTGCAGGAAAACCTGCGGGTAAGTGTCAGCTTGTGTTAAATCTGGATATCTCCTTGAATAGGTACTAGAATTCTTTTGTTTTGCAACGTGAGTCAGTGAAGAATTATTAGATGTACATTTCTGTTAAGAAATGGATCACTATGCTTTATTACAAGGTAAAATGTAAAAATATTAAAATACTTATTCATAAAAGCAAAGAGGAATTTTTTTTTTTAAATGTGTAAATTGTTTTGAGTTGTTCACTTATAAAATATTTTCTATTGTTTTTGTCTTTCATATTAATTTTAGAGGATTTATTTCAGATTTTGTTAGACAGTTGAGCCCAGTGTGTGAAGATTACCGGTATTTATTCCGTCCAGGATAATTTGCAATCAGGAGAAAATACTATTGTAAATTTTTGTTTTATTTACATGTATATGCATATATAGTACATCTCCTTCTTACATATCCTCAAACTATTTTTTGTATTTGATTGTACGAGGGTTGTCCCAAAATTTCGTAGACTGGGCTCATATCTTTCAAAGAAATTAATGTATCTTTATAAAATCATGTTTACCTGAAAACTTTTCGAGAAATAACTTTTCAAGTGATATTGTTCTCTAACATCTGGAGCAATCTGCAATGTCAAAAAATGCAAATGTCAACGAGTCTAATTTTTGGCGAAAATATTTCAATTACCAGAATCAAATTCTTAAATTAAACAAAACGATTATAGTTATAAATGTGAAATATCTTAATTACGATGATATGATAAAACTTTAAAATATGTTAACAAATTATATGCATGTACCGGTATGAAATAATAATTATTTGAAAACGCTATATTTAATAGGGCTTTTCGTCTGTTTCCTCTAATGGAGTTGCACAATGGAACTCTTGCCCATTACTTAGCCCTGTCTTTATTTTAGTTACTGTTATTCACATATACATAGAGAAATAGTTTTTGTAAATTTAAATACTAAAGATGAGAAAAAGTTTCCTAGTCTACCTAACATTTATGACTGGTACATTTCTGTAAGAGTGAATTCAGGATCAAAACACTTGATCCTAGTCCAGTGCGCCGCCTGTTCCAACGCAGCCACTATTTTGAAAAAAGTCCAATTTCAACCCCAAGTATATAAAACGTTATAAAATTCGTATTTATCAAAGCATAAACACCAAAATTTCAGGAAATATAGTTAATAAAACATTATTAAGAATTTTCATTTCCTTTAAAAAAAAATACGGGGTAGTAATTACTTTTCCGTAGGATTTTAAATATAATATGCCAAGTTTAATTTGCAACTTTTGAGTATTGCGCCACCTTTCTACATTAGAAAATGAAATGTGTCTTTCAAATTGGAATAATCTGTGTAATTTCTCCATATTTGTCCATAAATTTATTAGATAGTATTGGTTTAATCTATATATGAAGTTTCATTAATGTATGACATAGGGTTCCTAAAAAGCAACACTTGTCTACGGAGTTTTGGGACAACCCTCTTACTTTTGTTTTTTAATACATGAACTTGTAATTGCATTGTGATCTTCTCTATATTATAGTATAAACATGCTGTCTACATTCCAAAGTATTCTAAAACATATATTTTATACTGTAGACCTACTTTTTTCTACAGGGTCATAATTCCGCGGAATCTGAATTTCTGTTTAATCTGCGGGTAGAAAATTATTCCGTCTTCTTAGACTGTCACTATATGCCTTACATTTATAAATATTAAGTACGCTTGGAAAAATTTCCACGGAAAATTTTCGCCCACGTACATAGCGTAAATTAATACCACACGGAAAAATGTACTTCTACAGTATCTAAATACACTGTACCATTAATTGTATACATCAATGAACGTATAATATTTTCATCATTTTATAGTGGAGGTGATTGTTTATTAGAAAGACCATTGAAATTTTCCTTTTATATGAAAATTTATTTAAAATTTTTTATTTTTATTTAAAGGAAAATATGTTGTTTTTTTTTCAATTTTTAAAGTATTTTTAATTCTTCTTTTATCCATCACAGAGATTTTATTCATTATCATAACTGTTGTGGAAAAGTTTTGTTTATTTTGTTTCTGTTTTATTTTGGCCCTTGTTGAAAGAAGGAGTTGAAAGGGGAAATATTCAAAGTAAATACAATGAAATCTGTACCAAACTGTGTCTCATCAAAATACAATGTATAACAAGAGGCAGCATTGTTGGCAAGAGTAAGAGGGCAAAAATAACACGGGGCAAAAATTAGCTTGTTAAATATTTCTTCATATTGTTTTGATATTACGATTATACATACAAGCTGTTTTTTGGGCAGGTCCCACTTTTTAAAATTATGATTTTCTTGTTGTAAAGAAAAATTAAATCCACATATTATACACATTATCATATATTACTTTTACTTTATTTTTTGCTTGAAAATATCTGAAATTCACAGGCCTGTGCTAAAATGTAACAATAGCCTGTTACATGTAAATTTTGGATGGGTATATAAAAAAGAAATAGAATGGATCCAGGTGAGACCATGCTTTAAAAATTATTTGTTTGCAGTCACTAACCTAAAATAGAGTTGGTAGGAATGTAAGTAGCTTCAGAACTGCAGCTCTCAGAAAAAATATATATATATTAACAGACCGGAGAGCTACAGTGCCACCAACTGAAAAAAACTGTATATTTATTGTGCACAAAAATGCAATCAATTCTGGATTAATTCTTCTAAATTCTTGCTTCAATTGCATAAAAGCTTCTTTTCAAAAAATTCCTTGCTCCTCTATCAAATACTAGTACTTTTGTAGTTGACATCTGTACGAAGCATGTTGGACCGAATTATCTTGCAAACCAAAATGGCAGTATAAATAGGCGAAATATTGGATTATCTCAATTTCAGGGCCAGGAGGGCTATTAAAAACCGTTGTTCAGAATGTTTTGTTGTGGAAACAGTGAACGAATATGTTAGGGACACACAGTTTGTAATATGTGATGACAGTTTTTAAAATCATGGAGAAATAAATCGAGAAATAGCACACTTTTTTGTGTGCAATAAATATACAGCTTTTTCAATTGGACACTGTAGCTCTCAGGTCTGTCGATATATATATTTTTTAGGTCACCTGAGTAAACTCAGGTGACCTATTGCTATCTGTTTTTGTCCGTCGTCTGTCGTCCATCGTGCGTTAAAATTTAAACATTTTCAGCTTCTTCTCTGAAACAACTGAACCAATTTCAACCATTTTTGGCATATAGCATCTATGGGTGAAGGGGAACAAAAATTGTGAATTTCATGGTCCCTGCCCCCCTGGGGCAAAAACCACTAAAATTAGTGCAATCTTTAAAAATCTTCTTCTTTAGTCCCAGACATCAAGCAGTCAAACTGTTAGTATGATTGTAATCAGCATTGAGTCCTCTACCAAAATTGTGAAATTCATGGCCCCAGGGTCAGGGGTTCTGGTGTTAGGGCAGGGCTCTTTGAAAATCTTCTTCTGTGCTCCTGGGCATTAAATAAACAAATTAAGTTCACAGTTATGATGAGCAAGAGTGCCTCTACCAAAATTGTAAATTTTATGGCCCCAGGGTCAGGGGTTCTGGTGTTAGGGCGGGGCTCTATTGATTATATAGTGAAAATGCATTATTTCTTTGAAAATCTTCTCTGTTCCTGAGTATCAAATAAACTAATTAAGTACATAGTTATGATGAGCAAGAGTGCATCTACCAAAATTGTGAAATTCAATGCCCCAGGGTCAGGGGTTCTGGTGTTAGGGCGGGGCTCTATTGATTACATATTGAAAATGCATTAAATCTTTGAAAATCTTCTTCTCTGCTCCTAGGTATTAAATAAACTAATTAAGTACATAGTTATGATGAGCAAGAGTGCCTCTACCAAAATTGTGAATTTTATGGCCCCAGGGTCAGGGGTTCTGGTGTTAGGGCAGGGCTCTATGGATTATATAGTGAAAGTGCATCAAATCTTTGAAAATCTTCTTCTCTGCTTCTGAGTATTAAATAAACTAATTAAGTACATAGTTATGATGAGCAAGAATGTTCCTACCAAAATTGTAAATTTTATGGCCCTAGGGTCAGGGGTTATGGTGTTAGGATGTGGCTCTATAATGATTATATGGTGAAAATACATTACATCTATGAAAATCTTTTTCTCTACTCCTGGGTAATAAGCAGATGAACTATTTACATAGTTATGGTGGGCTCTTCTTCCAGAATTGTGAATTTCAACATGTTCAAGTCCCCTGGGTCAGGGATACCAAAATGGGGAGGGGGGGGGGTCTACTTATATACTGAAAATGAATTGTTTAAAATCTGCTTGGTATTAATTAAACATTTTTGATAAGCAAGTGTGCTTTTTCAAAAATTGTGCAATGTGTAGACCTAGGGGCATGGGTTCATGTGTGGTAGGTGCACTTCAGATTATTGCTGAATATTAATGATTAGTTGACATACTTTTTTGTTCCCCTACCCTGCTTATCGGTATTAAGTAAACAAACTAAACAATTGCTAAGTGTATAGTTATGATTAGCAATGGTGCCTCTTTCAAAATTATGAATGTCATAGCATCTAGCTTAAAACATGAACCAAATTCAATCATTTGAAAGTTGTTGCATGATGCTCAGGTGACCTATAAGGCCCATTGGCCTTTGTTTTTGAGAGCTACAGTTCTGCAGTTGAATGTAAAGTGATTTTTCTTCATTTTTTTTTTTATTAAATTGAATTTAGTTATCAGGTTCATTTCGTATACGTGGTTTAAGCTAGATAAAAATATAGAGATTTTCAAAAAAAGAAAGCCTTTAAATATTCTGAAAACTAGAAACTGCAAAAAATGCCCCCCACCCCCACCCCCCCCAAAAAAAAAACAACAACTATGAACAAAAGTATCGTTTGGGTGTAAGTAAGCAACTACAAACATTTTTTAAAAAAATATTTCCCCATTAAATAGGATTCGCCCTTCATCTGAACAATTTGTCCAAGGATTCTCTATGTCAAGAGTGTAGTCAGTTGAAAATGACCTTAAAAGAAAATATGAAGAGTTTAATTACGGCAAAAACTTCAAGTTTTATCAGAAAATTTCAATCAAGTCTTCGACTCACGTGAGCTACACAAGTTTATTTTTTCACATGAACGAATCTTCCGGCAGTCAAGTGCTTTCTGCATACAGAGTTTATATCTCTCTGTCGATTCGATACGCAAGAGCATGCTTTACATATAAAGGTGTACAATTTCTAAACAGAAGTAAATTATTGACAAATAAGTCATATTTAAGGTCATCATTTCGTAAGTTATGTGGTCGATACAATGATCCTGTCAGCAAATCAGTGGCGGATTTAAGGGGGCCGCACCCCCCCCACCCCCATTAAATTATCAAAGTTAGCGTAAATCACAATTTCGTCTAGAAAGTGTTAGCGTAAATCAAAATTCTAGAATCCAGAAGTGGGGGCTTCACCCCCTGATCCAGGCTTTGCCCTGGACCCAGTGGGGGCCTCAAGACGGCCCCCAGACCCCCCCCCCCCCCCCCCGCCCCCTCTAACTTCAAATCCTGGATCCGCACCTGCAAATGCAATTTACCATTAATTAAATCAAATGCTGACTGGCATTTTTCATACTAATTCTTTGTCCATTTATACACTGAATTGACGACGCATTTTCCATTATTTCCCGATCAGGACAAGGAGCAAACGGGTGGGGTGACCGGTCGGCAGGGGATGCTCACTCCTCCATGTCACCTGATCCCACCTCTTATGTATCGTGTTTGCTCTGATCCTATATTGTTTTGTTTAATGGACTTTTGAGCTTGAATAATATACTGTTCGTCATCTCCAT